CACACACACCACACACGCATGCGCTTACACACACACACGCATGCGCTCACACACACACACCACACACACACATGCTCTCACACACACATACCACACACGCGCGCGCCCACTGCCCTTTTTCCCTCTCGCCTCGTCTGCCGGCGAAAGTCTAACGCCCCCAGCGCCGGCTCGTGGTGCCGGTGCTGGGGGGGGGGGGGGGGGTAGGCGTCACCGCTGGGATGGGCGGCGCGAGGTGGACGCTGGCTCCCACTTGCTCGCTCCGGGAGCCTGCCGCGCCGGGGCACGTAAAGCCGCTAACGCGCAACCTCCCAGACATCAGAGCTCGTGACAAAAAAACCCGGGCATCATTATTTTCCGCGCTCTTCAGTGCAATTAACGAGCGGTAATCATGTGTGCTAGGAGCTCGGTAATGAGCCCAACGCATTTGCAAATGCAGACGGTTCGCCGTGGGGGGGGGGGGGGGGGGGGGGCCGTGTGCATTGGGGAAGAGCTTTTAATTATTATTATTTTATAATATTTTTTCCCTGTTATGTTCAAATGCCGCTTCGCCTTTATTCCGAACGCTCTGGCAATGGAGACGGCGACGCATGTCCTTATTTTTATTTAAATTTTGCCCATGATGCACACCTTCGGCACTCTCGGGCGGGTTTTCCAGTTATTGCTCCGCGAAGAACAAAGCGTGCGGCCAAGACGCAAGGCATAGCAGAGGCTGCGTTTTTGGGGTGGAAGTCGAAAGGTACACTCGGAGTCGGCCGATTTGTGTTTTTTTTCTGCTGTGCGCACGTACGTACGCATGATGTGCGCACGCATGATGAACTTCTTTCGCGCCGTTGCGTAGCCAACCGTGGTGCGGACGAAGGAAGACAAACTAGATAGAAAAAAGCGGTTGTAAAGAAATTGAGTTTTCAATCTCGTCAGCACCGACGCACCGAAAGCAAGCTCGGCTATTGTTGTTGCAGCGCACACGGAACATTCTGGAAAAGTGTGCAATTTTTTCCCCCTCTCGCACCGTCTCCTCACTCGTAAATAAACACTCCGTCGTCGGCTCGCGTTGGTATAAAACTCACCCGACCGAACGCTTACGCCACCGAGCCGAGAAATATGCTTGCGAACGCTTTTTTGGTTGTCGATGAACACAACTCAGGTTTCTCCGCGGAAAGCACTTTCTCTTTGGCGATGCAACGTCGGATCTCCTCCCCCACCCACTCACACCGCCGCTACTACCCACCCTCTTACCAATGACATTTGTTGGCTCACAGGCTGTGAAGTGGTAAACAAATACCTGTGAAGTGAAGCCTGAGCCATTCTCGTGGATCATTATCATCACCATCATCATCCTCGCCGGAATCTTGACCGTGAAGTGAAACACGATGCACCCTTTGTTATCATCATCGCTACCACCACCATCGTCGTCGTCGCAATGATCTGCATCGTCAAGTGAAATCCGAGCCATCATCACTGCCATAAGCCATCATAATTATTAGTCACTTAATTTTTCTGAGCGCCTTCCGTTTTAGAAAATATATATCACCATTGCTCGCACGCAGAGCTTCACAATTGCACTACTTTACAAAATCCAAATTGTACTGTATTGCCTTGTACAGAGGACCGAAAGTTTTTGAAGATTTGTTTTTGAAATGCTATCAATGGTAAATATTCAGATAAATTATAATCAATGATTGGAAGTGTATCGTCGCTTTTGCCAAACCACTGTTGTTTCAAGACGCAACAGCCGCTACATGTGATGTGTTCCTCATTATAATACGTTTTAACAAAGTAGATTTTCGTGGGTAATCTATTAACAGGGGATCTGGATTTAGGGCCAAGGCACATTTGCTAATCTTGCATGACACCGGACCTCAAGAAAGCTGCGAGCAGCGTTACGATCCATCGATTCATCTATTCACATCGATTCTCCTAGCTCGCGATACACACACAGACGTAGAATCATGTGTGTAATCATCGATATTTGGGTTTATGTGAAACCTCCAGGCACTGGAGGCCACTATATTAACCGCAAAATAATAAAAATAAATAAACTTCCAATTCAATTGCAGGACCACTGATATGACGACGCCTTCGGGGGGCACCGTCATCCAGCAGTTGATAGATCAAGGCCGGCGACAGTGATCATGAGCGTAAGAATGTATTTCAAATCGGAAAATCCGATGCGACACGCCTAGACTAGGACAAGGATGACGATGTCGAAGCCGAGTCAACCCTGGCCAGAATCCAACCACCCCCCCCCTCCCCCCACGATCTCACAATTGTAAACCTGTCGCTCCGCACACACAAAAACGAGCGCCACATCCAATCGTCACTTCAAACCCCGAACAAAACCGTCGCTCGTTCCATAAACACCGCACAAGAAATAACTTCCTCGGGCTGGGTTCGGCAAAACGAGAGGCTAAACCCAAGCCGATTCTCTCTCTCTCGTCGGCGAGCGCTCCCCGATCGTCAAACAAGGGTAGGCGCGCCCGCCTGTGCATTGTCGTGCAAGACAGCGCCGGCAGCGAGCGAGCGAGCAGAGGGGTGGCGTGCGGGCAGCACTTCCTCCCATTCTCCACGACGGGAGGCGACTCTCCCCCACCAACCAACCCTCCACCCGCGCGCCTCCTCCTCCCCACCGCCGCCCCCCCCACGCCTGCCCGCCGACACCCCACACTCCCCCCCCCACCACCACCACCCCCCCTCCCCACCCGCCAAGGTCAAGGCAGCCGGCCAATGAGGAAGCAGCTGTGGCTGTCGCTCGAGTCACATGATAATTACGCCCCGGTGCCAGAGGGGGAAAAAATGCCGCAGCCATCCCGACACGCGGGGGCCACACTGGCGGCAACATGAGCGCGCGGAAATCCTGGGGGGGGTTGGCGCGGGGGGGGGGGGGGGTTGGGGGGGGGCGGCAGGGGTGTGCAGCGCGGATGGCGATAGGGATTGGGGATAGGTGGGGAGAGTAAGCACAATGGGTGTGCACCGACCGCTTTTCGTGCCAAGCTAGCAGCCGGCGTTGGTGGATACCTCCGAGATCACGGTCTGCACGGCGCCGGGGGGCCCCCCCCCCGCAAGTGGCTAGGAGTTGGCGGCAGGGTCGTTAACCGTCGAGTTTACCGGTGCGGAGCTTTGAGGTGTTACTCAGCGGTTGGCTAGGTACGGTGCAAAAGAAGTTCGACATACGTGCACGCAACATATGTACCCTCCTCCCAAGCGAGGACGGGCATTCCGCACGGCCAAACGCTCACCGACGGTACTGGCCAAAAACAACCCGTTGTCGCGACACCCTCCGGCAAATGAAGTCCTGGGATGAACAAAGGGCGTTAACATTGAAATATTATTCATTGTTACTGCCACATGCAGTAATCCACAAGGCGATAAGGTGGCTCATCGGCATGAGCACATTAAGTAAGTTTGTGCCCTATCGTATGCAGTGCTTTGCAGTGTAATCTCCCCACATGAGTGGGTTTTCTCTGGACACTCCCGTCTCATCCCACATGGAATGTACTCATTCAGAAACCGGTCAAAAACCCTTCAAGAGGGAAAAAATAATTAAGATGATCCAAGATACAGCGAGGTTCTCCCGGTTAAATAAAAGGGGTTTGATTATAATTATCGTGTCCAAGGCGGCACAGGAGAACGTGTGTGTGTGTGTTTGTGTCGGGGGCCAGGGTTGAGGGGGGGTCGAGTCAGGAGCAGTAAGAGGGGAGTTGGGGATTGTGGGCTGCTGGGGGTCGTGGTGGTAGTGGGGGGAGGAGGAGGAGGAGGGGGAGAGCGAGGGAAGGAGGGAGGACAGGCAGGGAGAGGCAAAGCGAGACCAAGGCCACTCGCACCCACATCACCGCTGTGGACTAATGAGCCGGGGCGTTCAGCTGTCGCGACGCTTCACGCGCACAAACAGCGGAATAACAGGGTCAAACGTGAAACGCAACGCCACCGGACCTCTCCTCCGCCCAGTCCCCCAGCGCCGGGCGAGCGGAGGTGGCTTTAACGCCAGGCTCGGCGCTAACCGCGGGGGAGGACGAGGTGGGGGGGGGGGGAGAAGAGGGAGGGGGCCCCGGGGCAGGGTTGGATGTGCCGTGACAAGGTGTGCGGAGCGTTCGTCGGGGTCCTTAGTTGCAAATTGGGCTCGTAACAAACGAGCTGCGCGCCTTTTAACGATTCTTGTTTGACCTAAAACGCGTTCCTTAATAAACACGCGTGTTAATGAAGTGCATTCGTCTTGCGCTCACGGCTCGCAGGACGAGCCGCGCTAAGTGCGTTTCTTTGTCCGACGGGACGTTAGACAAAGAAACGGTTCAAGCTAAAGATTAATTGAGAAACTCCTGTAGGTTGTATTTACGTAAGAGGGCGTATGTAAATGCGTCGTTTAAATATCAGATTCCTGAGTTGAATAAGAAACAACGCTGATGTTATGAATTAATCAATAACGAGAATTATTAATGGACAAGAAGAAAATGATAAGACCGTACAATGAAGGTAATATTTTACAAATGTACGCAATGGAAAACCAAAACACCCCATTCTTAATTGATGACAAAGCCGATTATAAATAAATACAAATCTCGAGAATAGGTTTTCCCCTTTTTTCTGGCAACAAAACAGCTGTGTTAAGATGTGAAAACACCAAACTGAAACCTTTTACAAGGAATCATGTCTGCATTAACCACAATACGTGTGGTCAGAATGCAAACAAAAAACATACGCTGATAATAAATGCATTGTTTTAACATCTTAACACCTGTTTGTTGCCAGAAAAAAGGGGAAAAACCTCTTCTCATATTTTGGTACTGGCAAAGGAGGTCCCATGAAATACAAATCTCACTTGACAAAAACTATTCAGTGGTAATAGAGATTCGTAACGTGACGACCCTGCCACTGATGATTTACCAACGACAGCCATGACAATGACGACGGAATAAAACGAAGACCATGATGACAATGATGACGATGAAGACAACGATGAAGGCACCAATGAAGACACCGATGATGAAGACGTGCCCGTAACTCACCTATGGGACTGGCGCCTGCACCAGAGCCTGAGACGAGTTCTGCCCCCAGCATGCCTCCTGCAACACAATGCCGAGACCCATGACACAAGACCCAAGAGACGAGGCCCATGACCACAGGGCCCAAGACGCAAGACCCATAATATGAGACCCATGACATAAGACTCTGTGACAAAACAGTGGGACCCAAGACACTAGACTGACGCCATTGACACCCAAGACACAAGATCTATGACACAACAACAAGACTCGTGACACCAGTCCGAGGCCCAAGACACGATACTCACGACACGAGACCCGTGGCAACAACGAGGCCCACGGCCGGCAGACGGCAGTAACTCAAGTAGGTTGCTGACCTATCTGTAAATGTCACCGGGCTCGGCAAAATGAGACAGCATAAGACAGCATTGGATTTCCCGTTTCACATCACCTATTTGGTTCCTAGCTTCATCATCAACTAATGTAGCACCTAATCCTAAAACCCTAACTGCTAAGCATTAATCCACGAGTCCAATAAGTATGGGGTGGGGGGTAAGAGATGATCTCTGGTGTGAACAAATATTCATTTCACTGGGGGAGACAAACACTGTAACCAATGGAACCAATATATTCCTCCTCGACACTTTGTTCTCAATCATGAATGTGGTAACCCAAGTAGAATTCCCATCCAGGGCGAACATCGACGCTCAACGAAGTCTGAGACAGTCCTGACCCCCCCACCTTCCCATGCCCCCCCCCCTGCCGCCCCCCTTTTCTCCCCCTCCATGCCCCCGCAACCATCTTTCACAAACTCACACTGATGAGTGCGATGAGCTATGATCAAACAACCTCCGTGCCCGACACGGCGGCAAGGGGAGGCTTTTATCCAGCAGTGGATCGACAAAGGGCTGTAAATAAATGATGCTACGATGGTTTATGATGGGAGGTCTGTGGGAGCTCACGGATGACATGCACGAGCGCCGGCAGGGTAAGTGGCCGCGTTTGGATGCGGGAGTGGGGGGGGGGGCGAGCGGAGGGGGGGGGAGGTTAGCTGGCTGAGGGGCACGTGGGCTTCGCGGGGGTCTGGGGGTGGCAGAAGCTCTGTGCACGGAGCGTGCATCTGTGGTATGTCGAGCGGACGACCGCTTGCGTTTGGGCTCTTATCAGAAGGCAAAAAGAAGCCGATGGGCACGTCTTACGGGCGCGCAGACGGCGTGACATCGTCGGCCGTGGCCAAATGACGGCGCTATCAGGTGAGGGGGAGAGGTGCACGCGGGGAGGAGGATGCCTGATTGCATTTCCACCAAGGGATCAGCAGCCAGGGATACTCGACAAATTTGAAGGGAATGCGGAGTTGGGGGGGGGTGGGTGGGTGAGTGAGATGAGGTGTGGAAGGGATGTTCGGGATTGGGGGCTCTCAAAAATTCCAGCCACCAGCGGCACTGAAGAACTGTGCATTAACAGAGACCGCACAGATAACGATCTTGCCCCCCCGACTGCACGCGGTTCCACGGCCTGTCATGATTCGGGGTCGCGATTCGATTCAGGAAACGATCCTTTTTGTTGGTAACCAACACTGATAGCGGTGGTGGTCATGATCGACACTGGCTCAAAATCCAATCACAAGTCAACTACAAGACCTACACAAGATGACCCCCTGGTCGTATTTAAGACCCCTCTCTCTCTTCACTCACCCCTGCGCCACCTCTGCCTTGTAATCTCGCTTCACTTCCACCCGCGTGTCCTCAGCTTGAGCAATCGAGGCCTTCTCTCTCTTAAACCCTCCGCGTCGGTCTCTGCCGAACATGAAGGTCGCTCCTCCTTCTCCACTGCTGATCCTATCGCCTGGAACTCTCCTCCGTCGCCCCTCTCTCCGCGCACGGTGCGTGTTGCTCGTCCCGGCCGCGTCTCGTACATCGTTCCTTAAGCCCGGCCGAGTTTCAGGACGCCACGTAATGCACAGCTCGCATTGCTCGTATCGTCAAACCGCGTTGCGTGGGGGGCAAAGGGGGCAGTGACTTACGCGGGGCTGTACCGTGGATGGGGTTTGAGATAGCGGCCTAAGATTTGAGTCAAACCTATGTGGCGAGCAAGCAAGCAGAGGGCAGCGGAGGGATATCCAGTGTTGTACTGTGTTTCTATGCCACCACATCTTAAGACTCCCCCCACACACCTTAACCAGCCCGCGCTGGTCAGAGGAATGAAATACGGGCGGTCTCCGGTTTCCGACAGTCACACATGAACGACGTTAATATCATGCCACCATGGATCGATTTACGATGCAGAAACTTGATTTCACGACGCGTCTTCCAACACGACTCCAAACGCATTTGAACAGAGTCGGTCTGGCTTCCTATGTGACTTGGCGTTGAGCTTTTTGTTATTCTCAAGTGTTTTTGGTGGCTTTTCACCCATTGAGCCCTGTTAAAGACGGCCGATAAAAGTGAAAAAACACATCGGCAAGTGATGTGTCTACCGTTTCCACCGTCTGTTGGAAAAGAGGGTCCGATTTAGGACAGGCTTTGCAGGAACGCATTTCTGGCGTAAAAGCGGGGACCTCCTGTATGGTCAAATATCCCCTCTCACGCCCCACCTGACCAGCACAAGCATGGGGAAGTAGTGGATTGACAAAAAACGCTGCTCACATACACGTACACTAATAACAATTATGATAAGCTTTGGATAATAATATTCACTGCCACTTAAGATGCCACGGCAACTCACATCTCATCCGAAACATGCTAAGGGCAACCCCAGTGGCAGCTGTCCCTGTGCGGAACAAGGTGGCGTGGTACCGGCATGCCTCGTCTGCCAGTAGTAGGTGACGATTGCTCTCTACATGATCCCAATTGAGTACTTTGCAGGAAAAGTTTTTTGTGGGATAACAAAACCGGCACACAATGTCCTAATCTTTTGCCACGGTGGCGAGACGTTAACCACCTCGCCGAGTATACAGGAGGTCGTGGGTTCGTTCCCGATCCCAACGCCCGCTTTATATTTGGAGTTTGCATGTTCTCCCGCAGTCGCGGAGAATTTTCTCCGGGTCCTCTGGTTTTCTGTTTGTTTCCCTCCACACTCAGAATCAACACGCCTTGAGAGTATTTGGCTGCTATACATTTCCACATGATGATGAGCCACTTCGTTGAGCTATCATTTGTGGCCAGGTCTCTTCTGAAAAAGAGCTATACGGCTCAGTGGGCCTTCCCTAGTTTATTTCATAACACGTCGGGGGGACTCGTAATGTTCACTGTGAAAGCAGACGGCACGCGGCATTCACTGTTAATGCACCCGCAGTGTCGTAACTGGGGCGGCCTTACGGACACTTTCCGCACCATCGGCGGGGACGCCGGCTTGCAAGGATCATGCGCGGTTGGAGTCTCACCAGGGTTGCCGGCGCTGGGCGGGCGCTGCTGAACACCGGGAGACACGGTGTTCCTCTGCAGGCTGACGGCCTGCGGGGGCGGCAGCATGGGGCCCCCGTGCTGTGCCAGCGTGCCCCCGGGGCTGCCGTACACCAGCGTGTTGCCGGGGTTCGACAGCGGCACGGCCACCGGCAGCTGGAAACTGCCTGTGCCTGGCGGCACGCTCGACTGACACGGGGAATTGTGGTGCAGGCCCACGGGCGGGGCGGCAGGGGGGGGGGGGAGAAACAAGGGGCACAATAAATAAGTCAACAATCAGGCGGTGGGTAAATAAATAATAAACGCAAAGGACATTAGCGGAATTAGCGGCGTGAAAAAGAACAACGTCAAGCTGCATCACACCACACTGGAGGTGCGAAACGAGCAGCGTGTACGATTTAATTGTCTTCCTCCGTAGGCTTTGTGAGCGATGGCAAAGTCTCCGGGCAATGTCCCCATCGTGTTTGTGTTTTGGTGAGAGCTTACAAGAATCCTGCCTGAAAATTGTGTTTTATATATTTATTGAATGGAACGTAATCTCCTCTGAGAGTGTCTATTACGGACGAGATAGCAAACGCGCAAATATAGCTTTATTTAACGAAAATATAAACACAATTATTTTATTTGAGTGTGACAAATGACATTACCGTGCCTAAACTGCCAACAAATTCACCTAGGAGAATTATATACAACTTGACTTGGAAGATTTTGACATCGCGAGTTATATGGATATTTTCATTTTGTGCAATTCACTTTTACCATCAACCCACTTAAAATAGACGACGAGACGGGGAAAACAAAAGATTCACGAGTGATGTTTGGTAATCTGGCGAAATGTGTGCCGTGAAAACACCTCCACCGTCCCGACAGCCAAAGAAATCAAATAGGTCACGCGCAGAGGCGTCCAAACGCGCCAAATTATTCCCGTTTCAGCTCGCTCACCGCTAAGTTGCACAACAATTTGCGCAGCCAACTGCATGGAATCGCAACGCTGGCTGCGAAAACAGACGTGCTTGGTTGCAAAATGGCGAAGCTTGCCGACGTAAGCTGGCGTATCGCCGTATCGACATCTCATTTGCGATGCCTCTTAAGCGTAATTACCTTAAGCGTGCCGCCCGCTGGAGAGCGGATGTTAAAAGACCTCGCGAGATCCGTCCCAACCAAGAGGATGTGGGAGTGTCGCGGCATGCAACTGCCAGATTTGAAAACGACCCTAAGCCGTACCCAATTTAGTGACTAATTCGTCCGTGTTTGCCAGGTTTGGTATCGTTGTTGTCAATGAGACACATGCACATCTCCCTGGATTCATCCTCGCATTAGAAAAACGGTGTATTGGGATGTAGAACAAAAAAAAGATCGTTAAAAATTAGGGTTGGATTCCATCACATGCATGTGCCTAGTATGTGGAGAATCATCGCTACCCATGACCGAATGCTCAACAATAGCCAATCGAAGAAGGGAATGTTATTGGTGCAGCTGGATCGGATGATTAAAAAAAAACATGCTGCGATTTTGACATCACGGCATTGTGCGAAGAACGCTGTTACCGAAACATAGTTATTTTCTCGTAGACAATTAGCGAGTTTGCGTGTCTCGGACTGTCTGACAACAATTTATCTTAACTTTGTTCGGGGAATGCTTCAAAGTTATAGCCTAGGGCGTTGCTCAAGTACTGGCCGTGATCTCATCGACGTAATGAAATGTACAAGAGTGCCGTCGCGATGACGTCACTAGAGTAGCAACATGACACGTTTGATCACAACTTGAAAGTCTTTGTTCGCTAACGGAGCTTCAAACTTGTGTCGGCTGGCCTCTTGCATGCGCGTAGCCCAGAGCACGTTTATTGACGAGACAGGAACCGGTTATTTCTATGGCGTTGTCAGTCTTCACTTGCATTTTACCACTCTAAGCGGAACACACTGATCCAAAGTCTCGGGCTTAAAAGCGCGCATAACAACGTGTGTTTGCGCATGTGAATAATACAAAACATTAGTCCATCACCCCCATCGGCTTTACAGACCAATACCATTGAACAGCATTTCTTTAAGCACGCGAACTCTGGACCGGTTTCAACCTTCTGGGTATCATCAGCAGAGCCAGGTTTGTTAAGTGAAATGCCACTGGCTTGCTGGACATCTGGACGGTTGATGGCACGTGCATGTTTGCGAGCCGTGAAAAAAACACCGTGGGCTTCTTGAGCTGGCCTATGCAGAAAACGGTTCTTTTGCACGGGGTGCCTTTATTGCATTAATAATGCCTGTGGGGCCCGGCTTATGTTTCTGTGCACAGCAGATGACACCGGGCATTCCAAGGCAACAAAAAATCTGGCTCTGGCAATAACGCGTTATTAAATTATGCCGTATGTTCACCTACGCACCCAACTGAAACCCGCCCGCACACAGGTGTGTCGTAGCTTGCGCAACGGTTTTCAGAGGCATGCGTTGTGGCGCTGCGTAAGACGTGATGTATAAATAAATAAAACTCCTACGATGATCAAGTAAAAATAAGAATGAAAAGAGTTAGTTTTTTTTGTTAAAGCTTCGCAAGCTATTCGAGACCAAGTCTCATTCCTGACTATCGCAGTCAATTTGTTGCACTAACCCGTTTCGCGAAAGCCTTATATCGCATGTGGGTGAAAATGAAGCTTTAACAATGCCTGGATGTACAATTAACCTTCAGTGAAAAAAAAAACATCCTATGTGAGCTCTACATTCCATGACACGGTGTGATGAAGCACGCCTGCAATCCTGTAACTTGGGATGAGATGTGGTGGACCGTGCCAAAATCAGCCAGTACAGAAAGTAGGTCGGTGACCTATTCGGATTGTGGATGTTCTGTTCTTCGAGTCACCTGGCTTCCTCCAACATGAAATATAGAAAGATCCAAAAGAAGAATTTGCGGATGATCCAGGAAAAAGGGACCTCCTGAAATATTCTTAAAATGCAAGCAAGCCTTTTCTGGGTGCCTAAAAAGAGTTATCAGTATTTTCATAAAAATACTAACACATCATTATGGCAAGTTTTTACGTACTTTAACTATTTTTTGTCTTTCAATTAAGCGAATTGCACGGAGGAGCAAATGTAAGTGCACCACATTTGCACGTCAGACTGTGCAAGTTTCATAACAGTGGCTCTTCATTATATCCAGAATCCAAATATTTAGGATGCAAAAGCCAAATTGAGCATTCGTGGCGCTAAAAAAGAGGCAGCAATTTCAGAAAGGCACCGAGAAACGCAATTAAAAAAAAATCTACAATACAACAAGCGGTATTTAGAAACTCAAGCCTTTCACATTTCGTTTTTTGGGCAGAAGAAACTTTGTGGTGAGTGGTGTTTGGTTGGGAAAATGACAAGAGGAGGAAGTTGTGGAGGGAGGATGAGGGTGGGAGGGTAAAGACCAAAAGAAGCAGCTGTAGGTTTAGAGTTTAACCACTTCCCCGCTCTAACGAGAGGGAGCGACGGGCAAAACCGCAGACAAATAAAAATCATGCATTCATTACATGCGAACGACAAAATGCCACCTTCGTTCAATTAAACTAACAGCAATTTGCGCTGGCTTGACAGTGGCACATGTGTGATACACAAAGGACAGGGTGCCAAGGCAAGTGCACGCGCTCGCTCGCTTCTCTCCCGCTCGCCCGCGTCTCACGTGGCCAATTATCCCATCCCCCTCTTCCAGCGAAAGGCCGGCAGTGAAAAGCGTGCGCCATGCGTGTTAAAGCCACCGGCACACTCGAAAGCCACACCACCGTCGATGAGATTGTAAGTGCCTTGTGCCTCCCTCTGCTGCCACGCGTGAAAGAGGGAAAACTACCACGCACTAGGATGTACCGGCCGACATTTGAAAAAGGTCACGTTAATTGAACCGTTTCGCCAAATTAGGAAATGACAACTTTTACGTGTTATTTTTCTTCTCGGGTTTTTTGTTTCGTTTTCCAATAATAAATGTTTTTTTCTCTCCAGTTCACACGTCTCTATTACGGCCGAGCGTTTTGTTCAGGGAGAGACTGTTCGATGCTTTAGGAGGGGCGGGGGAGGCGGGGGCGGTTGCTTTTAAGGGGGAGGGGGTCGTTTTGCTTGAATGTAAGTAATGAAATCGTGCGATGCAGGTAAGCTGTAACGGGCAATTAAATCGGTTGAATCAATTTTTAACTGTCGCTGGGGGTGTTTGCCCCCCCGCCCCCACTTCCCCACCCACCAGCTACAAGGACACGGAAGTGGGGGGGGGGACGTGTGGGGGGGGGACCTGAGAGACGTCGATTGGAATCGGGACGGTAAATCCTGGCGGTGAGAGCGCGGGCTGCGGTGGCTACTTACGGGCGCCAACCTGTGATTCCGCATCATATTATCGAACTCCTCGTCAATTTTTTTATACTTTTCCTCCGTGCGCGGGGTTAAAACATAAGAGACGTCGGGCTCGGGACTGTCTTCCCCGCCTCGCTGCTCCTTCCGATTTAGAGCCTGCGAAGGTGGTGCAGAAAGACAGAGAGGAGAGAGACGGAAGGAGGGAGACAGCGAAGACAAGAGGGGGGGGGGGGGGGAGAAGAAAAGCAAGCGGAAAGAGTAGCAAAGCGACAGAAAGAATGGAGAAAAAGACAAGAGGCAGAGAAAGACTGGCCGACAGAAAGAGAAAGAAAGCCGGAGGAAAGAAAGCAGCATTGGAGAAAAAGGATTGAAAGAAGAAAGCATCGCTGGTAAAGAGAGGAGAAATATTGCCAGAGATAATAATCCAAACGAGTCGGAGAAAGAGAAAAGGGGCGGCGAGGAGATGGAGGAGAGAGAGAGAGGCAGGCAGACGGAGACGGAGGAAAGAGCAGCAAGAGGAGAAGTGTAAAGCAAAGCAGGCAGAAGAGGATGGAGGTGCAAAAGACAGAGGGGCAGGGGGGGGGGAAGGAGGCGAGAGGGACAGAGGGGAGAAGCGGGGGGGGGGGGGGAGGAGAGGCTGAGTGACCAGGTAAAGGTAGGGCACGAAGAGAGTTGCTACTTACACACAGTCTCTGATTCCGCATCATGTTATCGAAATCCTCGTTGATTTTGCGGTATTTCTCCTCCGCGTGCGGGTTGCCGCCGAGATTGTCTTCCGGGTCAGAGTCCGGGCTATCAAAGCCGTTCAGCCCCTTTTTTTTCAAGGTCTGAAAATCAAAGTTTAGGACAGTTCACACAAAAACCTCGACGCGCCTGGATCGTCTCCAGCCGACAGAACGCCGTCCAAATTTCCACGTAAAAAAAAAAAAAATACACGCCGCTTCATTCCAGTCTGCCCAACCGCTCTCTGCAAACAGAACAGCCGGCGTTAATGTAACACAACGATTCGTAATTAAAATCTCTGCTGCTTAGATTTTTTTTTTTTAACACCAATTATACCCCCAAAAATCTTGCTATCGGGGTCACGTCACGACAGTGCCTCTTCCGGAGCTGTCACATCCAGCAAAAGCATCACAATGTGTCACGAGCAGAGCCCCCCCCCCCCCGCCCCCTGGAACATGACACCACAGATCGACTTCTGGAGTCACTTCAGAAGCTCCCGCACATCCACCGAGTGACAGCTCTCCTTCTCGCTCGGCAAAGAGTATTTGTCACACGTCAATCGGCCGGCAATTTTTTGGGGGCCTCTTGAGCTGGATTAACAATAATATTTACCGTCATTATGGGCGTGCAGCCATGCCTTTACTCTATACACTGGTGTTGAAAGCCCCCCCAAACCTACCCGCCGTAACGTGTCGGTACTTGGGCGGTTGTTTTGCCATACTTCACCGCACTCGTCAGTGTAGGTTGGTAGAGGTGGGGGTGGGGGCAGGCAGCACAGGTTCAGATATCACTTGCCTCACTGATGTTGGCCGCGGCTGGCAATCGAACTCAAGTTGCTGACTTCATAGTGCCGTGTGCCAACCACTAAAAGCCACCGCTCCACCGCCTGCTCTGGAAGGGGCACGGCAGTGGGGAGATGTTAACTACCTCGCCGGGTATACAGGAGGTGGTGGATTCGATCCCGAACCTGACGCCTGCTGTATATTTAGAGTATGCAAGTTCTCCCCGTGGTCGCGTGGATTTTTCTCCGGGTCCTCCAGGTTTTAAATCCTTTATATTAAGTTCGCTTTCTTGCTTGCTTGCGTGCTTGCTTGCTTACGACCGTGCAAATCTTTCGGTCGTTTTTTAACCCACTTCCTGTGATCCAATCGAGCTGACATTTTGCACACAGACTCGTTGTGCGAGACAATTAATGTTCGTTAATTTTTTTCCCAAAATTTTACACTGTTTAGGGAAAACAAATTAAATATTTAATTACCAATTGCTTAATACTGGCAGACAATCATCTGACCCATAGGTGGCAGCCATCTCAAGCCAGAGGACGAGAGGACTCTAGCCGCCACTTATTCCCCTCCACATTTAGAATCAACATGCGTTAAAAGTATTCGGTTGCTATACATTTCCACATGATAAGCCACTTCGGTAAGCTATCATTCGTGGGCAGGTTGCTTCTGCAAAAGAGCTATACAGCTCAGTGGGCTTTACCTGGTAAAATAATAAGCGCGGTGTCATTTGTGCAGTCAGTGTGGTGACCGAGTGAGGATCACCAAATCGCCACACTTGCGACCGTGGCTCTACCACCCCACCCTCCGTTTAATAGCAGGCGGCTGCACAAATTAACTATTTTAATTTTTATCAGGTAAGGCCCACTGGAGCTATGTAGCTCTCTTTCAGAAGCGACTTGGCTACAAACGACAGCTCAACAAAGTGGCTTATCATCATGTGGAAATTTAGAGCAGCCAAATACTATAAACGCACGTTTACAAGTACGGAGGGCAAAACCGGAGGAGCCAAAGAAAAATCCACTCAATCACGGGGAGAGAGACGCGCAAACGCCAAATATACAGCAGGCGTCAAGAGTTTTGATCGAACTCACAACTTCCTGCATACCAGGCGAGGGGGTTAACATTTCGCCACCGCGGCGACCCTGTTTAAGCCAGGATCTCGGCAGCGGCGGCGTCAGCTGTGTGTCTCTCCGACACAGCCGACACGAAACAACCCCGATTCGCGCGGAAAGATCTCAACAACGCGGATTTCTTTTTTTGTGTGTGCTGCGTGTGTGTACTGCGTGTGTGTAAACACATCGGAACGGATTATCGCGAAAGCCGGTACGTGCACTGTCCGGGACACGCGATGTCATCGGAACACGGGGCACGACAAACAAAAAAGAAACCGTGACGTTTCGGCCACGGTCGCGGCACGAGCGCCCGTCGACGCGCTGGAACAAACGCGCGCGTCAAATGCAAGCGGACGCACACGAAACAACACGCGGGGGGGGGGGGGCCCTTAAGGCCACAGAATGTGTCGCGCACGAGTGCGGGCGCTGCGGCCGGCACACTCCAGATAGCGCTAATCACGCGGAATGCATTCGGCCGTGTCCGATATGGGCCGGTTGGAGTAGCGAGCGTGGCAGCTGCCACCGCGTTATCGGCATTGGGGTGCCTGGGGAGGCCGGAATGTCACAATCACGGCGAGCCTATCTGCACCTGTTCCACTTCTCTCCTCCTCCTCCCTCTCCCTTTGCCATATCTCTCTGGTGGCCGCCATCTCCACCCCCCCTCTCTCTCTATGCCTCTCTCCCCTCTATCTCCCTCCTCCCTCCCTCCCTCTCTTCCACCCCCTCTTTCTCCTATCTCTCAATGTCCATGATCTTCATCCCTCGATCTCCCCTTCTCGCTCTCCCTCGTTCCCCCTCTCTCTGCTCCCCCCCCCCCACCTCGCGCTCTCTCCCTGCGATATTTTTCTTTCCGCTATCCCTCCCGCTCCCCGTCTCTCCCTTCTCGTGCTCTTTCCCTCGTTGCCTCTCTCGCCTCCTTCCCACTCTCCCCTCCTTTTACTCCCTCTGCCACCACTCTCCCCCAAGCCCCCCCCCCCCACCTCTCAAGCTTCCCCCCCCCCCCCCCACTGCTCTCTCTCTCTCTCCCCTCTCTCAGCGTCCGCACAGGACAGAATGTGACATGCACAGGGCGGCCGTGGCCAGATGCCCTCACACCTGTCAGCCTGGCACCTGTCTGTCCACTCAGAATTTTTTTTTTTTTACCAGCGCCCCCCCCCCCCCTCGTCACCCCCCTTCTCGTTTTTCAGCCGAGGCCGGGCAACCTCGTCAACGTGACTGTTTGTAACGATTGTGAAAAAACAAGCGGCGGGGTTCGTTAGGCGCAGCAGGAGACGCTCCGACCGAGCCTTTCACAATTTTATTTCGCATCTCCCTCCCTCTCTCTCTCGCTGCTGCTGCTGCTGCTGCTCGGCTTACGTGTTCGCGAAACACAAATTGCTCGTCGCAATTATACACACGCGCTAAGAATTACAACAAAAAAAGCCATGAACCCAACAAGATTAACTTATGACATCAGCAGCACACACCCAACCACTCTGGGCGCGTTTTGTAAGCATTCAATTAAAAACCGTCTTTCCCCTACAACAAAGAGGTGCGTCGGGTTTTTCCTGCATTCGTCAATCCACTGCCAGATTGAGGGCCTCTTGGTGCCATGTGGGGCTGTGGGGCTGTCATCCGATTGTACGTCGGCACACCGTTCCATCGAGAGGGCAGCTTAGGCGTGGAGGCGCGGAAGTGCAGTACAATGGATTTTGCTGCACTGCTGCCCTTTGCTGCCCGCAGGCGTATCATCACCACCCCCGCCCCCCGCAGCCCCTATGGCAACCCACTCGCGCGGAGCCATCGGCCATCCAAGCACCGTAACAAGCCGGCGTTTCTTAACCTGGGGTACCCTTCCTGGGGGTACGAGACATGGCTCGATTTTTTTTAGAAGGCAAATCATCGAAAACACAAATTGAGCACGGGTACGTAAGTACAACTTACTTTGTTGCATCAAAACACTATGCATTTATTAACACTGTACTTTTTTTTACGATTTAGAACCAAAGAGGGTGGCAAGGCCGCAGTAAAGGTTAAAGAACCACTTGGTCCAAGCGATGAGAACTCAAATCTCTAAATGACGAGGAACCCCCCTCCCCCCTCCTCCATCGCGATGAAAAAATGTATGTGGGGCCACAAAGTGGACAGACTTAACACCACACAGACACGTGCAATGGATGTACAAAATGTCTGTCAGCCTTACGCAGACCACCAGCTCCACAGAACTACACGTGCTGCCATTCTGTTTGTTTGCTTGCTTGGTTGGGCACATTTTCTCACTCTTCCGGGTTGTTGGTAAAAAAAAAAACGCCAAAATGACCCCACACGGTCACTTCTTTATTTGAGCTGGTGGTCTGCGACGAGACCGAGAGCACATTTGGACGTTCGCGGCGACGTCAGCGCCACCAGTTGGAGCCACAACCTCCGTCTTGGCTTTTGTAAATGTTGTGGATTTGCTCTCCAACACACCCGTGTGCTGTACTAGTAACGAATTGGCATGTTCCGTTCACGTGACAAACCTCACTAAATGGCCTTGTCGGGCGGTGGCGAGTTCAACTAAACATTTATATTTACGCAATCTAACCCAAAAAAAAACACCTGCATTATGGATGATATTGGTCGCCAAAGCCTACGTGCTAAACCATCTTGGCTTCCTTCCCGACTTCTGATGGGATGGAGGTGCATTCCATGTGATGTGGCAATAGGCGTGGTTTTGGGGGTAATTGATTGCCCATTCCTGCCGACAGGTTTTTTTTTCGTGTTTAGGGGGTGGGATTTTATTTTAATAAATCCACTGCCGTCATCTCGGTACAGGTGCGTCGATCTGGTTTGGCAGGAGAGACCTGCTGCTTTGTCAATCTGGCACGGCTGCTTTTCTTTTTTTTTGCTTTCATTTATCGACGACAACACCACGGTGACTCTATCTTTGTTCCACTTCCACTTTAGTTTGTGGCTGTTGTTTTTTTTTGCGTGTGGCGGTGTGAGAGGGAGAATGTAAAAGGATCGCAATCCCAACATTTGATGTGAACGAAAAAAAAACCGAAATCACACCCACCTAGGCTGCCCATTTTAAACCTCCGTTGTGCCCGACACAAAATTACAAACGCTGCAGAGATTCGCTTCGAAAATTAGTACGAGGTCAAATGTATATATATATATTTTTGTTTTAAGAAATCAGCAGCTTAAATCGTGTATGCTTTCCGAGAATGCCTGCCGGTCGGGCTGCCT